AATTCCAAACCGCGAATGGGAAGCAAGCGAATCTGGAGGGATGACTGTAATTCAAGGGATTAACTTCCATTACATCCTAATAAATAAGAAAAAAATAAAGTGGGGCGTAGTGGTTTGAGTGTTGGACCATGACTCTGGAGGCCAGGGTTCAAATCCCTGCTGAGACATGGAAACCCACTGGTGACCTAGGGTACATCACACTCTCTCAGCCTCAGAGGATGGCCATGGCAAACCCCCTCTGAAGAAACTGGCCAAGAAAACTCCTTGATAGGGTCACCATAAGTCCAAAATGACTTGAAGGACTTGCAGACAGGAAACTTTTAATTAGAGACACAGAAGCACTGACAAGCCTTGACAGTATTTTGTCATCATGGTAAAGGTTGTTTCACAAAAGGATCATCATGAATTAGATGGGGGTGTATGGGGGGGGGGGAATTGCCTGTATTCTCCATAAAATTCTGAGAACAAAGATGGCAATCCCAGAGGAATGGACTAGCACAGAAGCAACTGAGATCATAAGAACACATCCTCATTTAAGAGCCCAAATTACATATCCTCCGCCTGTTCTTGCCAAAGCATTTGCTGTGGCCTGTTCCCTCCCAAATGAGCCACATGGCCTGGTTTCTCCTCCTACTGGCAAAGTGCTGTAACTACAGCACTTTTTAAACCAAATCACAAGGAAATAGCATTGCTGGGAGTCACAATCTTTGCAACCATATCCATTGCATTTGCAGCATCTGGGAAAGTTACTTTGATGGACTGTGTGTGTGATGTGTGCCTTCAAGTGATTTCCAACTCATGGTGACCCAAAGGCTATCATGGGGTTTTCTTCTCACGATTTGTTCAGAGTAGGTTTGCCATTGCTTTCCCCTGAGTCTTCCCCAAGATCACCCAGTGGGTTTCATGACCACAAGGAATCAAACCCTGGTCTCCAGAGTCTACTGATCCAATATTCTGGGATTTTGTAGTCCAAAAAAGTAACATTTTCAAGCTCTGTATATATGCTATGAGGTGCAGAGGCCTCCACACGACCTGTATGAGGCTTCAGGGGAGTGGACTGTAGAGACTGCTAGAAGGGGATAAAAGCACCATGATCCCTCTTATCTGTTACCATTCTAAATAATTAATTTATTTGAAATACATGATGATATTGTTTGAAAGTGTATTGCTTTTAAATTAACCAAATGCCAGATTAAGTTGGAGTGCAGTTTATGAAAGCAAACCTTGCTGTAAATGGGGAGTGACACTGGAGAGAGAAAGCCCTTTCAGTGAATTGAATACCTGAGGAATGATATCATCTGGACCACATCAATTTAGACTTCTTGAAAATGTTACAGGAAACTTGAAAGTGTATCAAAACCTGTAACAATGCAGATTCAGACCTGGCTGTTTTCTTCTGAAAAAAATTCTGCAAGAAAATAATAACATTGTATTAGAAAGGAAAGATTTTGAAACAGTGCTTCAAATTCCAGAAACAAACTTTCCTTCCAGCTTCTCCAAATGGACCTTTCCTGCAGAATCCACATTACTTTTACATTCTGAAATAATGTGAGTTTTGCCATGTGTGTGCAATCCATTTGTCATATATTCATTAAAGCTACACTTATATTTCATCTTTCCTCCACTGACATCAAAGGGGCACAAATGGCTTTCCCTTTTGCTGCTTTTTATTCCTATCAGCCCTGTGATGTAGATCAGACTGAGAGAGAGAGTGAGCCATTGGTCCAATGTTACTTGGCGTGTTTCATAGTTCTGGATCTAGTTCTTGCTGGTCCCAGTCCAGCATCTAACTACTACCAATCATGGCTATTGGCTATGATCTGAGTGGGCCAATGAATCCACTTTGTGGCTTAGGGAGCTATTCTGTGTGCTGGACCTCTTTTGGGTGGTATATCTTGGATATGTTGGTGTTGTTAACCACCTTTGGATCAATCCAAATTCATGGCGACCCTGTGGATGAAACATCTCCAAGACCCCCTGTCTTTCACTGCTTTGCTTAAGTCCTGCAAATACATACTCATGACCTCCTTAATAGAATCCAACCATCTAACATTTGGTCTTCCTCTCTTTCTACTTTTCTTTACCTTCCCTAGCATTATTGTATTTTCCAATGAGTCATGCTTTCTCGTGATATGGCTAAAGTATGACAATCTCAACTTAATAATCTTGGCTTCCAGTGAGATTTCAGGCTTTATCTGTTCTAGGACCCATTTGTTTGTCTTTTTGGCTGTCCACAGTACCCTTGAGCAGTGGCTCAAGTGGTTAAGGCACTGACTCTGTTGATTTTAAGATTAGCAGGTTGGCAGTTCGAGGCCTGGGTGCTGCATGATGGGGTAAGCTCCTGTCACTAGTCCCAGCTTCTGTCAGCCTAGCAGTTTGAAAACATTCAAATGCAAGTAGATAAATATGTACCACTTTGGTGGGAAGGTAAACAGCATTCTGTGCAATCATGCTGGCCACAGGATCACAGAGTAGTCTCTGACAATACCTTTACCTTTACCTTTACAGTATCCTTCAACACTCTTCTCCAGCACCACATCTCAAATGAATTCATTTTCTTCCTATCCACTTTCTTCACTGTCCAGCTCTTGCACCTGTACATGGGGAATGCAATGACGTGTACTATTCTAACTTTAGTGCTCATTTGTATGTCTTTACTTTTTAGGACCTTTTCTAGTTCTTTCTGATTTCTTGACTGCAGTCCCCATTCCGATCAATGTTTGATCCAAGGTACAGGAACTCTTTTACTATTTCAATTTCCTCATTGTCTAGGTTGAATCTTGGATCTAAATTTCTTAAAGCACTAAATCTTGTCTGATCTTCAAAGCCAAGCAGGGACAGCCCTGGTTAGTACTTGGATGGGAGACTGCCAAGAAATACTACATGATGTATTTCATAGGAAGGAACTGGCAAAACTACCTCTGAGTATTCTTTGCCTAAGGAAGCCCTAGGAAATTCATGGTTCATAACTTGGCATGCAGCTTGAAGGTACACACACATAGAGATGCATATATGTCTTGGACATATTCATATTAAAGTTTCATATATTCATATTAAAGTTCATATTAAAGTTCATATTAAACTCCAGAGTGGATTCACCAACCCAGTAAAATGACTGCCACATTCTGGAAACCAAGGGGAATTTCTAGTTTTGAAGGATAGCTCCAGGTACAATGCATTGCAGTAGTCCAGACATAATAAAGTCCAAGGCTTCTTTTTACCACTGTCAGATCTGCAAGAATGAACATAAAAGTTGTCAGAAAGCCCATTTAGCTACAACTGTCACCTAGGCACACAGAAACAGGGCTTGATCCAAAAGTACCCTTTGCTCCATGGTACAGTGACAGCTCCATGTCATAAGAAACATGTTTATGCCATGATTTGCCCTGTGCCATTGCAGACCAGAGTAATGAATCTATGAAATCCCTCTTTCAGCCTCTTTCTGGCTTGCAAATATTTTCTGTCTATTCTCTCAGCTTTCTTTGCATGTTTGTTATTGTTCCCAGGCCTCATCGCCTGTTTGAAAATGGTGAGCAACTTCATTGGCTTTGTACAGAAGGCTCAAACGAAGACTGGAAGAATTCCTTGAGGTTGGTGGGTGGGTGGGTGAGCAAGGGTCTCCCATTTTCACTGAGGAAACTGGATGCAAGAGGTGAAAGGAGGTAATAGAGAGGGAGGGAGGAAGGGTGGCAGTGTGAGCAAAGCAGCTGATCAAAGCCACGGGATGCGGCATGGTGAGTCACAGTCTGGAAAGGCCCTGGGCTAAAGCCAAGTCAGGAGGAGAGAAGGGCCACACTCCCTTCAGCGGCTTGGATTAAATGGCCTGACACAGAGAGGAACAAAAACGCTCTCACTTCATACATTCCTGAATGCATCTTCAATCTGTATTTTGAAGCAGATTTGGATTTGAATTTCTAGAATTCTAGGCTGCATCCACCCTAGAGAAATACAGTGGTTCCTCCACATTCGCTGGAATTAGGGGTGAAGGAGCCCCGTGAATGTGAAAAACCCTCAAATAAGAAACCACTATTCTTTTTACCTAAGGCAACACCTCTCTAGGGACGTTATCGCATAGGGCCCAATCCAAACAAAATCCACACGAAATCCCGAACGATACCGGA